AGGAGGCACCTGATTGATATATCGATGTATCATCACTCTCACACTGATGTTTTTCTCCCTCTCCTTTCCTCTCTAAAAACCAAAAAAAAGTGTTTTGTTTTTTTTTTTTAAATACCTCATTGCCAGCACAATAGAAGCTTCATGTGTATCTTTTCCTGATCACATCCCTGAATTTCTCCACTAGAGATAACTTATGTTCTTGTAATGAAAATAATTTTCTTATTTCTCTTTATAATTTCACCAATTATGTATAATAATAGTTCTTCTCAAACTACTTTTAAAAATAATTTCCATACGTCACAGATACTTTTATAAATACAAAAATCAAATATTTGAATGTCTTGGCAATGTCAAACTCATTTGATTTGCTTATCTCTGCATCAGCCTGTGACAGTTCAGTGTGGTCTACAGACCACACTTAGAATAGTACTGATGTCTATATTACTGAAAAATGTTTTTCTTTAATCTGGCAAAAAGTAAATGTTAAGTAAAATTTAATGGAGTATTAAGTATTTAATAAAGTGAATATTACATGTATTTTGTGACTTTGTTTTGCTAAGTTATCCGTGTTGATGCATATGGCTGTAGTTTGATTTTGTTACTGTGTAGTAGTCCATCATATAAGCATACCACAGCTATATGTCTCCTCTACTGTAATGGCATTTAGGTTAATGTTTTTTGCAATTATGAACAAGTCCACTATGAACATTCTTGTATGTGTGTCCTATTGCACATGTGTATAATCTCTTGAGAATACATGTAAGAGTGGAATTATTTGCACATAAAGTGTGTTTATCTTTATTTTTACTAGATAATATCTAACTTTTCTAAAGCAATTGTATCAATTAGTGCTTTCACTAGTAGTGTTGGAAGGTTCCACATTTGGTATTGTCAGACTTTAAAACTTAAAAAAATCTCCTGGGTATCTCCATTATTTTTATAGATATATATACATATTGTTAAAGAAACTGGTATTATATCTCATCGTTGCTTAATTTACATTTTCATGAAGTTAATTATTTTTTTCTCACAAGTTTTTTTTTTTTTACCATTTTGATTTCCTTTCTTGTGAAGTCCTTGTTCAAATCATTTGCCCACTTTTAAAAATTGGATAGTTGGACATATTTTTATTAACAGTATTACTTTATGTATTCAGGAGTCTTAATCCTTTGGTTATAACTATTTCAAAAATCTTCTCACAGTTTGTTTTTATTTTTCTGTTCTTAGTGAAATGTATCAACCTTTTCCTGTATTGGTGTTTTTACGTCTTGTTTAAGAAATTTCTCTAGCCTGGCCAGCATGGCTTAGCGGTTAAGCATTGTCCTTTGATCCAGATCTCGGTTCTGTTCCTGGTCAGGGCACATGCCTGGGTTGTGGGCTCAATTCCCAGTAGGGGGCGTGCAGGAGCAGATATCCAGATGATACCTTTTTATCCATAACTCATTCATTCAACAAATCATTTAATGCCAAGTAGGTTCTGTCCTTCTTTCTAGAAATAGAGATTCAGCGATAAACAAGAATTTAGTATTTTGTTCTAGGAGTTCGACAACAAGCCAGTTTTCATATGAGGTTTTTAACCTAGGGTGAAACCTTTAAAATTATTTACAGGATTTTACATATATTTTTAGGCTTCTAGAGAAAGTAATTTTCATCACATTCTTGAAGGAGTCCGTGACTGAAAAAGTTTTAAAGAATCATTGTTCTGTATGATACTAGAGTAATTTTAGCTTTTTCCTATTAATATAAAGGTCTAAATTCTAAGCCTATTTTTCTACATGGTGAGAACTGGAGGGTTAGATATTAACTTTAAAATGTTCTATTCAGTAGATATTTGTCTACTGTATGCTAGGCAATGGAGATACTGAAGTAAATCTACTTTCTTGTTCTCAAGGCATCTGAACACATATCCCAAAGAGAAAATTACAATATTGAACCTGAAAGTAGTAGTTCTCAAACACTGTGATATAAGAATCACCTAATCTACTTGTAAAAGGTTTCTTCCCCTGACCCTGAGACTTTGAGTCAGTAGATCTGGAGTGAATCTTGAAAATCCTCCCAAAAATTCTGATGCAAATGTTGCTATACCATGTTTTGAGAAAAATAATAGTAAACATTTTTGTAACACTGTGTACCT